TGCTGAATATACATTTCTGACAGGATCCACAAAGGAAGCAGCTTAAAGAATCTTTTTAACAGGCAAGCTTGCAGGAAGTTGAAACTAGAAAGGAAGAGGTCACCACTATTTTCCACTGAGTCACGCAACAAGTCCAACCACAACTTAAATGTAATGAAAAAACAAAATCTCGTGCTTTTAATCATTTCTTTCCCAGTTTTTTTGATTCACATAACCAGACGTTTATAAGAAAAAGGAAAGATTTAGTCTTAATTCAGGTGTGAGACTAGAAAAGTTTCTAATTCCCTGTGCAGACTGCCTCAGCATGAAGAATTAGCCTGGACTTCTGAATTTGATATTCAGGTTACAAGCTGAAAAAGGAACGAGCTGCATTATTAATTACTTTTAAATCAAAGCAATTTACTTTTCCCCCGTAACACTTATAAGGTCATCAAAGCACACTTGTATTGGTTGGCATGCACATGTAAGCATGCCCATGATTATGTTTTCCATCCAGCAAAAAAAAGTTGTGTAAAAACAAAAACTCAGCATATGGCAGAATATTTGCCAACACTGCAAGCAAAAGGAGAGGCACCAGTGAGAATAAAATTCAAAAAACTTTACACATTAACTACTGTAGAAGCTTATCTACAATCCCTTGTTGCAAGTGGGGCCTCAAAAAGGATACTCAAATCTCTTGAAGACTGGAGCTATGCAGGCAAATCTCTGTGCTGCTTTAATGTTTTTTTGCTCACAAGAAAAGCCTTGTCCTCCAGCAGTACAGCTGAGCTGGAAGTGAATTCAAGGTCATTACTGTATTAGTTGCAAGAGGACCCCTACAACCTCACAGGATCCTGAAGGCTGTGCATGAAAAGCTGCAGTAAGCCCAGAGAAAACTAAACATCCAGTCTTCTCCCCCTCAGCCCCTGCAGCTTTTCACATCTCTGCCCTTCCACAGGCTTTCCCCCCCCTCCCACTGGCACTTCCCATCCCCTCTGCTGCTCACTGGAGAACGTCCCTCGGTACCACCTGGGGATGTGCTTGGGCTCATTCCCTGTGTTCCTGAAGGAAGTGCATCTCAACTGCAAAGAGAAAGACATTTGTGTAGGAAATAATTATGATTATAATGAATTACACTGACTAAATAAAGAAAAACAGGAGGCTTCACTGGTGGTGTTACTGAAGTCCACTGGATGCTTCAGGAATAAGCTTCCTGCCATGGAGCATCTCCTCCGTGAGGACAGGCTGAGAGAGATGGGGTTGTTCAGACTGGAGAAGAAAAGGCTCCAGGGAGATCTTACAGCAACCCTGCAGTACTTACAGGGGGGCTACAGGAAGGATGGAGGGATGTTTTACAAGGGCATGTAGTGATAGGATGAGGGACAATGGTTTTAAACTCGAGCAGGGTAGATTTAGATGAGGTCTAAGGATGAAATTCTTTACTATGAGGATGGTGTGGCACTGGAACAGGCTGGCCAGAGATGATGTGGATACCCCCTTCCTGGAAGTGTTCAAGGCCAGGTCAGATGAGGCTTTCAGCAACCTGGTTGAGGGGAAGGTGTCTCTGCTCACAGCAGGGGGCTTGGAAATAGATGATCTTTAAGGTCCCTTCCAAACCAAGCCATTCTGTTCTATGATTCCACCCCTCCCATCCACACCCATCACACAGGTTTAAAGCTGCTAAAGCATTTCTACACAAACTCTGAAATGGTCATTAACATCATTGTCTCCAACTTCACCATCCCAGCTGTAATCAACCTCCCTACTTACAAACAGGCAGACCGTGGGATTCAAAGCTCCTGCAAAGGAGAACCACAGGACTAAGTCTGTACCTGGGGAAAACATTCAAGACAACCTAACTCAGCTTCCTCTTCAACACAAGTAATAAAGCTGTTTGACCCAGAGGCTGAAGATCTCCTTTTCCTTATCTCCTTTCTGATGGGCTCTTTCAATCATTAACAGACTGAAGCTCCAACTACAACATGGAGAGGGGCTTTCTTCTTTCCCAGCCTGGCTGTTGGTATGAAAGCCCCAGAAAACGTGAGGCAAGGCACAAACCAGTGAAGTATGCACAAAGGGGAGACTTCCTTACTTGCTTAGTAGAAGTACTAGCAGCAGCTATGAAAAAGAAAGGCAAATCCTAAGGGTATCTTTGAAGCATCTGAGGAAATAAAGCCAATTCACCAGTGGAAATTAAAGGCCAGTTTTCCAAAAGCAGCACCCGTTTCTGGGAAATTTCATCTTGCTTTGCTGAGAAGCAAGAAACCAGTGTGTTCCCCCTCCCCTTATAGAGCTCATTGTTTTGCAACAAGAAGCACTTTTAATTTTTCTAAAGAAGGCCTCCTGACTATTCCTTAAATGAGAAGAGATGGATGAGGAAGGGTTTTTCTTCATTCCTTTGAAACATTCCTCCCTTTCAACGTTGTCTATTGTTAAATTAATTTGTACAGACCCTGGCGGCTCAGAGGTCAGGATGGTTCAAGTTGATGTTCTAAGCTGTGTACTGTTATGTTAAATAGGGTTTTTCTTGGCCCCAGCTTGGCAGGG